GCGAGACTGCTAAGAAATGACATACTAAGTTTAAAATTAAGATGTCACAATTAATCGTCCAGATTTACAAACTTTCACATGCTACATTAAGAACAAAAGGAAGATTTGTGAAAGTCAAGCACGATCTCCTTCACATTGTCTTAAAATACAGGTAAATCAGAGCAAAACATAACCACTATTAAACCTTTCTCACTGGAATCTACGCGAAAAGATGGAGTGACATCGTCGTGTTGAGCGTGGCGCAATGCACTTTGGTAAAAAGTGGCGCAGTGCACCCTGGTTAAATGCAATGCATTCTGGTAAAAAGCGATGAATTCGAGAATTCATGCTCCCTTCCACATATTCCTCTTAAATCCTGATTATGTTGCTGCTCGCTCGCTACGCTCGCTCCGCAGCAATAAGGCATCTAGTAGTTATTAGTTGTTGCTTCTTCACACAGATGATGTTGACATACAGGATAGTGAAAGGTGTGAGAGTATTGTAAGGTTAGTACTCTAACTTTTTTAGCTCCAGATTGTTCCTCAAGCTGTTCTCGTCAAGCAGACAAGTAACGAAAGTTAACAAATGGTGTCACTTAGTATTGCCAAGATAGCAGTTTTGAGATCATTCTTTGGGAACATATGCGTCAATCACTTTCATTTTTAGAGTAACAAAAGCCAAATCGATCAAGCGTAGACCACTGCAAGACAAAACCACAGGAATATATGAGTCGCCGAAAATTATTTGCGAAAGACGTTCTATGATTAACTGAAAAGTCAAGGCAGGAAGCAGAATTTCATCTGAATTAGTTATTCCGTTTAGATATGTTTTAAAACCCGGCACGTCATCCCCTTTTTTTCCCAAAAGAAGACCAACAACTTGGCTGCATGAAGATGTCAAATTTCTCGCTTTGGGATTACTAGTTTTGTTAAGTGTGCATTTGGTGTATTAATGAGCTTTGTATAATATTGTTGCAGTAACCATGAGGGCATTGTTGAGGAAGCCATAAAAAGACGAGCTCTTCAGCGATCTGTTATGCAGTACTCGACATTTGACTGGTCGTCCATACCTCTGTCACAAGAAAGGAGACTTGTTCCTGAAAGTGTCCCCGATACACCTAGAATTCTCACAGTACGCTTTCGATAGAGGTCGACATCCAATCCAACACACCAACAAACAGAACTGTTTTGGCCGTTTCTTGTAAAATGTAAAGATGTAAAAATTATTCGCTTTCTAATGCAAGTTCAGTTGATATTTGTTTTCGATTATCAACCTAATTATGGAATTGATATTTTGCTATGTGTCAAGGTCCGCAAGCACATTTCACTCACTTGCCCGCCCGCCCACACTTTTTTCCTAGTTTTATGTCCGCAGATCGCATTAATTTTCTTTACGGTTTTGTTTCTCTGTTAACAAAACGATGGTTATGTAATTAAAATAAATGATAATGAATTGAATTTGGCAAGTGTATAGAAACATAGGCACGCAAGGCGTGCAAGAGTTATTTTTTTGTGAACTAAAAGTCTCGGAGATAGGAGCAT